AGAGAGAGAGAGAGAGAGAGAGAGAGAGAGAGAGAGAGAGAGAGAGAGAGAGAGAGAGAGAGAGAATAGTATAACACCCTCCCTTTCGTGACGAGGTGTAGGCGTGAGGTGATCGTCGGCTACCAAGCCCCACAGTAGAGCGGAATTGGTGTCCACAGGGCTAAGAAGAGCAGCAAAATTTACCAGGGAGAATCATATCAACCCACAAGTTAGCCTCTCACCCTCCTCCAGACCGTAGTGTGCCCAGTCCAAAACGACAGGCGTGACTGCTTGTGAAGGTCTGTAACGAATGATGAGAATGCCGCTGGCGCTTGTTGCGGTCAGATTATCCGGGCCCATCCTGTCAGCGGCCTCCTCTCTCTCGTTTTACTTTTATTTCATTTTGTCACCATGAGTGGAGGTCTCCTTTCTTTCTTTCTTTCTTTTTTTGTTCTTTTTTTTAATTATTTTTAAGATCACACTCCCCTTTATATTCAGGGGGCCACCAGTCCGGTTACTTGTCACCGGCAAGCACAAAAGACATGTAAGTAAATAACGTCTGAGGCATCATAATGAACTTGAAACTAGTTTCCTAGCAGCTGGAGACTACCTGAAGTACCCAGTCCTACGCAGCGTTTCTATCCCCTTAGGAAGCATAACCCTATCGCCTGCAATCTCTATTATGGAACCAATAAGGAAAAAGGACAGAATTATAGCCAAGTCAAGTAATCAAAATCCATGAAGTGAGAACTACAGTATCTTCCTATTCCAGGAAGCGGCCCTTAAAGTGGAGGGCTTCCAAAAAACAGAGTGCTTTTTAGTGAAAATAGATCACTTGAGAAAGTGGGGAGGGCTTCCAAAAAACAGAGTTCCAAAAAACAGAGTGTTTTTAAGGAAAATAGATCACTTGAGAAAGTGGGGAGGGCTTCCAAAAAAACAGAGTACTTTTTAACAGATCACTTGAGAAACATACTGAGATTCTGAGAACAAATACTAACTCTACCTCTATTAACGTACATTTCAGAGAGAGAGAAATGTCTAGAAATTTGTAATTAGCGGATAAAAAACTCCGCATTTAAAAAAAAGGAAAAAAAGACTCTACCTCTATTATCTAAGATGACTCGCTAAGAAACTTACAAAACTAACTTTGTATTAAGTTTGTAATTCAGTCTTTTTCCTGAATTTTTGGCTAGTAGTTGCTCAGGATCCTATTCTCAGACAAAACTGGGCAAAAGTCCCGGTATCTCGAAGTCTTTCTGTATAGGTTCTCAATACGTTTCATGTTTTAAATGGGACACTGGGCCCGGTTCCCAGCACGTGTGGCTCCCCACGAATAGATTGGAGCATTGTCCCGTCAAAAAAAAAAAAAAAAAAAAAAAAAAAAGTTTGTAATCTCTACCTTTATTATCTAAGGTGGCTCACAAAGTGACTTACAGGACTTACGGGATCATGGACCTTCTTCGAGGTACTGTGGAACGGCGTTTAGCCTGGCTCATGATGACCATTTGGGTTATCAGGAGAGTCAGATTGGGTTGGCCCTTCTTGATTGTTCAAATGATCAGAAAGGGCAAACCCGAAGTAATACGGACCGGGTCATAGCCAAAGGTGATGAAATTGGGAAAAGGGGCCGATGCTCTGGCCAGAAAAGAGCTAGGAGCCGAGGAGTAATGGGGGAATTTTGCCATGTTGATGAAGGAAGTCCGCCTGCAGACTTCGACGAATGCTCAGGACTGCACGACACTGCAAATGACTAATTGCTGAATTTTCCCTCTGTCTCACACAGAGATTTCTGATATTCCAAAAGGCTGAAAACACAGCGGCCCACACTACTTCAGATACGTACAAGTTAGTTCGCATCAGAATCATCCTGGATGTTTTGCACCCAGCAGTTGGAATAGCCAGCCACATGCGTTGTTAGCCATACGAGGGCGGCCTTCTTTGCATCTGGTAATTTCCTATTTAATATTTATGTCGCAGAATTTCAGAAAGGAGCGTCTAGTCCACTTGCCCATTATATACTCTGTAAAAAAGGCCCTCTTTTCCCAACGAGGCTTTAAATCAGCCAAGATGATGTCAAATACCAGGGCGTGGAGTCTATGTAACATCCGCTTAGGTTCCACATACCAGAGTGAGGGATCAAAAAAAAAAAAAAAAAAAAAAAAAAAAAAAGAAGATAACTCTTGAAGGGGTGTATGAACTCTGAATGGTCTGAACTTCCTGGGAGGTCTGTGTCCCCTTTGTGGAAGGACCACGATCGGGATCACATCAGAAATCCGCTTTATCTCACCTTCACCGTTTTTTTCCTCCAGAGGAGCCCTAAGGTCTTCATACCCTGAGCAGCAAGTCCAGGTAGACACATGTACTTCTTCACTAAGTTCTTGCACTTGTTCGAGTCTGAAGAGCTCTTCAGGCGAGGAGCCCCAAGGTCTTCATACCCTGAGCAGCAAGTCCAGGTAGACACAGATACTTCTTCGCTAAATTCTTGCACTTGTTGACATACTTCTTTGCTAAATTCTTGCACTTGTTCGATTCTGAAGAGCTCGTCAGGCAAAGAGGTCATTCTTCATATGAACCCACTGGCCTGTTTGTAGTGTGCCAGACCGAAGCTGCCAGCTGCCGTTCCCATTCTTCGGGAATAGCCTTTAACAAGGCTGCCAGCCGCTGTCTCCAGTGTGGTGAGTAATGAAATGCTGCTTCAATTCTTCCTGGGTTTTCCAGGATCTCGGATCCTCGTTCAATAAGTGTTTGACCAAAATCATTCCTCTCTCCATCCAACGGCGCCCAAAGGCCCACTTTTCACCTTGCCAAGCAAAGGGAGAGCCTTGAAATCATTCCTCTCTTCCTGGGTTCTGTAGAGACAAGCTGGTTACCGAACAAGGGCTGTGAAACTATTTGGATTCTGGAAGGGATTTCTTGGGGCTATAGCCTTGAAATGAAGCTTGCGCCAAATGGTCAGGATTTTCGACTAAACTCAAAATTGGTGGATACCCATCAGAAGTTGAGGATGCAATAAGGCTCTGTCCAAACCGCCGATTCTGGGAGG